ATTAAGCCATGTTCATTTGGACTTTTGATCAAATTAGCTAAATATATTTATTTTATTCTATATTTGACCAAAAGTTTGTTAGTAATAGCATCATCTAGATTTTAGAGATAGTATTAAAAACTGGTAAAAATACTAAGTGGGAAAGTGCACTGTTGTAGCTTATCAGTGTTAGAGCTTGAAAATACCTAAAAAACTGAATGCAGACAGAAAGAAAAACCAAGAGCGCTAAATCCAGAGGGATGCATACAAGCAGTATAAATTACCAGAAGAAACACTAGGTCAAGCTGAGGGAGCATGAATTCCTATGCATGCTTTGGAATTCCCATGTGGATATAGGTGAGCTGTCCCTACACCTCAGTGGCCTTTATTCTTAAATAGAAGGGCCAAAACAGTTCTGTAGGAAGTACCAATAGAACGGAGTGTATGTCCTGTGCACACCTAATTTTTGAACTATAGAAGCTCTATTTTTGTATGTTTTATATATTCCTGTCTTGTGTACAGTTCAGTTTGGAGTGAGGTAAGTGTTCTGTTTAAAAACTATTAATGTATACATATTTCTCTCTGAGTAATCACTGAGACTGGCTTGCCTCCTCTAATACATGATTTAGGATACTCATCGTGTAGAGAAATCCTCATATCTGGAGCAATGTGGAGAATAAGTGTATGAATAGTGAAAATGATCCATTTAGTCAAATATGTATTGGTATCTACTACATGATAGAAAACTGAGGTCATAAAACAGCAGATCTTAAAAGGAAGTTCTAGATTGGAATTAGGAAACCTAGAATTCAGTTGGGTCTAACCACACTAGCCCTGTCACCTCAACAAGTCAAATTTCTAGAGTTAGCTTATTATCTGATTTTCTGAACATATTGTCAAATGTTGCTTTGGTTTCTAAGTGCCCACCTAGCCATTCCCTCTTATAGCACCCCAAATATACTAAAACTTCCTTCCTTTTTTTTTTTTTTCTGAGCCAGAGTCTCGCTTTCTTGCCCAGGCTGGAATGCAGTGGCATGATTAGGACTCACTGTCACCTTGAATCCTGGGCTCAAGGGATCCTCCCACCTTGGCCTCCCAAAGTGCTGGATGTTCAGGTGTGCGCCACTAAGCCCAGCCTCAGACTTACTTCTGATAATATAACTCTGACTATACTAATTCGATTTAATTACCCTATGATTTTAGACTTTAGTTTTCTAAAAACTCCTTTCCAGCAAATTTTTTACTCCTAACTTGTGTTTGTTGTGTCTATCATTAAAGTATTATGGCTTTACTCCTAACCTGGGAAGCTCTCAGCTCTTCTAAAACACAACTTTGGGGCCAGGCATGGTGGCTCACGCCTGTAATCCCAGCACTTTGGGAGGCCGAGGTGGGCGGATCACGATGTCAGGAGATCGAGACCATCCTGGCAAACACGGTGAAACCCCGTCTCTATGAAAAATACAAAAAACTTAGCTGGGCGTGGTGGCGGCCACCTGTAGTCCCAGCTACTCGGGAGGCTGAGGCAGGAGAATGGCGTGAACACGGGAGGGGGAGCTTGCAGTGAGCCGAGATCGCACCACTGCACTCCAGCCTGGGCGACAGAGCGAGACTCCATCTCAAAAAAACAAAAAACAAAAAACAAAAACAAAAAACACCACAACTTTGGGAAGGAAATGCTTGCATCCACTTGCATCTACTTTTCCATGAATTACTTGAGAACAAGTATTTGTCGATGGCAGGAGGGATTGAGCATGGTGGGATGGATTTGCAGAGTGTCTATTAATAACTGTGATGAAGGGACGAAAAGGGAAAAAGAGACTGACAAGTAATGATCACAAAAAAAGAAAAAAGAAATTTCCGAGTAGAGATACAACACATGTTTCCCGACCTTCACAGAGGAATTTAAGTTTATGTCATTATAAAGCTCTGAAGATATTTCAATGATTATGGTGGATAAAATGGAACTCTTAAATGATCATACAGGTATGTAGCAGTTCGTACTTAACGTTAGCGGAGTATTATAGAGTATTGTAAAAGTTAAAACCTGAGGTCATCTTTGCTAGATGATTTCTATGTCAATGAAAACTCAAGTGTATAAACCAAAAAGATTGCATCATCCTTCTCAAATTCTTATATTTATAAAAACTTGTGCTAAAATTTCATTATCGCCAAGGTTTCTATCCTAACAAAAGAAGAATAACTCACACTAGAAAGATACTTATGCCAGTCAGTGGGCAGGAATACACTATGCAATTTCAGTCAATTTATTTGACAAATCAAAATAAATTACCCCAATTAAGGCAGACAATTGCAGGAGGACCTGAGCTGGCCGGTGGTCCTATCCTCTCCCTTTTTGGTAGGTTTTTGTTTGTTCATTCTAAATATAAGTGACCAGTTCTGACAAGTTTATATTCAAATAAGGGTTCAGAAGTAAATAAATACATCTATTCATTCAGTCAAGTAAAGTAATCCAATTTTCCTAGTGTGTGCACATGTGTTAGTGGTTTCCTAATATATATATATTTCTTTTTTAGAAATACATGTGCTGTGGCTTCAAGGGTGGAAAATTTTACACATTTATATAAGTGAGGAGGTTTACTTGTAACCCTTTTGCATATGTTTTGGAGAAAATCTCTTTAAGAAAATAAATATTGCTTTAGCACCTAGAAATACATATAAAATACTGTGTTTAAATCTCTCTCTTCCAGACCCTCCAAACAGTAATATCAGGTCATTGGTTCTTTTGGTGCCTCGTTTTGGCACTGAGTTTATTCTAAAACATATTCTAGAAAACACCAAGTAAGTATGCCAGTTATGACCTTCCAAATACATTCCACTTCTCAGCATGCTAGAATATATTTAAAACAGATTATATTTTCCTTCTGTGTTTCAGTTTTCACAGTTAATAAGACAGGCATTTCCATGGCTGACTTGCTGTTTTCATGGATAGCAAATATTCTGATTAGTATTCCAGATGCCAAGTTTACCAAATTTTATTCAGAATAGAAAATGCCATAGAAATTAAAGGTTTTGCCTCTTACTGTTTAAAGTTAAAACATCAAAATAATAATATATAGCTAATATTCATGATTGTTCTGGTAACTGGTGTTTTTAATGAAATATCCCTTGAACCAATGTGTCTTGAAAAATACTCATGTGATGTAGAAGCTGCTGAGTTCAAAAAATACCTCCTAGCACTAGCACTAATCTTATATTTAAAACTTTTAAATAAAATCTTACTTTGGATTTAAGAGATGACAAGGAGATTTGGAACAATGACTCTCCTGTTGTTTCAATCCTTATGACCTAAACTTCTTTGCCATCCTATCATATACAACTAACCTTTTAATACCCTCTCCAAGTGGGAAATAGTTGAAGGTAATGTTGTGTATGTTTTTCCAATTATTCTTAGGAAACTAACATGATGAGTTGAAGGTAATGTTGCTGGTAAGTTTTTCCAATTATTCTTGGGAAACTAACATGATGACTTGAGTTTCGGTAAAGATCTACCATAACTTCCTAACCTCTTGTTTTCACAGGGAAAATAGACCCACTGTTTCCAAAAAAAAAAAAAAAAAAAAAAAGGGATGCTTGGGCATTTTTTTCCCTCATTTTGATTCATCATATGTTTTATGATGTTATGATATTAAATATGGTGTTGTAATAAATAGGATCAATAAAAGTCAATAAGTGATTGGATGGGAAGTGGAGGGAAATGTAGATGTCATATGGTAGTGATGATGGAATTAGATAGATATGTCCAAGAGGGATGATAATGCAACTTGTGGATCACATGAATTGGTCATAATTTCCAAAGATCAGCCAAAAACTATAAAAATGATCCTTTTGAATTTTAAATATTGTATTCTTCATAAAATGTGGGATAATTTCACTGTCACATGGGCTGACAGATTTATTTATTAAGCCTAAAAATTTCATTCTTAATTAGTTTAATGATAACATTTTGGGTTGAATGCACTCTAACCTTTATTTTGAAAGCACCTGCAACTAGAGGAATAACCTGAAATTATATAGATAATATAATGGGTGTGTACATTGAGCTATTTTTCAGATCTGATGAATTTTTCTTTCTCTATTGAGAATTTTCCAGAAAGAAATACATTTCAGTCAGTCTGGCACACAATATAGCTAGCACCATGTTCCTGTCTCATATTTAAGGTCAATTTGATAGAGGATGTGAGAATGCATAGCTGATTGGCCAGCTCTACTGCTACCCAGTTAATGCTTCACAATGGGTGCTGGGTTTAGCAATCTTCCTGGGTATTGTTCTGTCTAGATCCTTATCTCAGGCTGGTTTATAGTTGGAAGACTCTCTAAAACTTCTTGAGAATTATTTATTCATGATCTCTGGTGGCTATAATTTCAGTTTAAATCCAGAGCAAAGAATCAGCATGATGCTATCTTCTTTCTCTAGAAGTTCAATAAATTGAAGAGAAAGTAAATTGTCATTAGCAAGGAAATTCACAGTTTTTTTTTTAAAAAATGCATGTCTGTTAGGATCCAGTGGCCCAATATGCCTTCAAAAAGTAAGAACTCTTCTTAAAGGCAGAATCAGGTTCATGACCTAAGAATCTGCCTTCTTATACTACATTGAAGAGAAGAAAGAAAAGAAGGAAGGAAAAAGGGAAGAATTTTATCAGGCCAAGAATTTTCTTCTTTCCTTCCTTCTATTTAATGTAGTATAAGAAGACAGATTCTTAGGAAAGACAAAAAGAAAAACTGAAAGAAAGAAGAAAAGAATGAAGACAAAAGGAAGAAATAAAGACAGAGAGTAATTAAGAATAAGCTACTTTTTGAAAGTTATCAAATAAGTTAATTATAAAAGCAAAATAAAAGTCCAGATCTAGTCACATTTACATAAATTAGCATTAAGTTCTTTGTCAGTCATTTGTTAGTTGTCATTCATTCGTTCTTCCAGGCTTGTGCTAAGAGCTGGAAGAATGAGAGAAAAGACTCTTATTGTATAAGGCAATGGTTTAAAACTATGGGACAAACCCTACCCTTGAATACTTGACTGTCAGAAAAGTGACCTCCACAAAGTGCCATCCAGTTTCCATTCCCCTTCCAGCTTCTTTGATGTTCCTGGGAACTGATAGAGTATGCCTTCTGCATTTAATATTTATAAATTGGTTAAATGTCTCAGACTTTGGTCTAAGCCATATAACATAGGGCAAAGAATGAAAGAGGTTAGTCAGATCAGAGAGAAAAGCAGAGAGAGAAAGGGTCTCAACAGAGCTGTAGTTATTTTCTGTAACCAACTGGCCCTCGAAAACAACTGACATCCTTAGTCAGATGCTAAGCATGTGATGTGGAATGGCCATGGCTGGCACCCTTCACAGAGGATCGTGCGTCTCCACTGTGCAGGTGTTTCTGCTCCTGGAGGCCTGCCAACCAGCAACCTGATTCTCTGAAGGGATCACACACAGTTGCTTCTTAGTTAAAACGGGACACTTAAGCAAACACAGGATCCACTGTTGTTAAATTTAGTTGCTCTTGTTACCTTTCATTCTCTGGTTGTAAATGAGAGAAGCAGATGCTAGCAATGTAGGCTTTACAATTCTTGTTTTTCTACTCATTTAAATTGGCACCCACAGCTTCTACACAGAGACTACACAGCTCTGAAATGACGCATGAAATGGAAAAAAATGGGAACAATTTTTGCCCTGAATGCCCAGGTCACAGAAATTACAGACGTGGATTCACACAACAAATGGTGCTATGTCTCCATTTAGTTTCAGCAAAGATTTAAGCTGACTGTAGTTGGTTGTACCAATAAGCAGAGAATTGAGTCAAAAGAGAATAGGGACTTAGGTCTGTCCACTTCTTTGACTTGACACCATCTCATATGAATCATCTGAAGTCCTGCCCTTTCTTCCTACACCGTCTACCAGTTTGTGCTTCCCTATCACATTTCTTCCTGATTTTTGCTTCCTTTTTTTGCTATGTGCCCTCTCCAAATATTCAACACTTTATTTTCATGTACTCTTTTTTTCCCTTCTATTTCATTTTTGCTCAAAAGTCCCTTACCCAGAGTACCTTCTCAGGAGCATACTAAAGGGAGGCAGAATAAGAATGGGGTCATAGGGTTTAAGTATTTATTAAAAATAGAGACATATTTAAGAAGCAAAGCCACCAAATGACCCCTCTCTGTAGGTGCCGGTCCATGTATTCTAAAGAAACAAAAGCTATGCTGTGTCACTAAAGATATGAATATCAACCAATTGTCTGCTGGAAGTACTTATGATAGGTCACTTTGCAATGTAGGCTTGTCTGTGAATACCCATAAAACTGGATGGGGCTACTTCCCAGCTGTCTATCGCTCACTCCAGCCCTGTCTCTCTCAGTCAAAGAAGGAGATCAAATACAAGAGTAGAAGTTGTATTGGGAGTATAACAATGAAATTTATGTTAAATAAAGCAAGATCTAAATTCATACTGCATTTTAAAGGTTCTGCTTCTCAGCAATCTTGCTATTCAGATTTATAAATGAGGCTGAGCAGGCTTCCCTTTCTTTGTGGATTATTACTTGATCTTTGAGAATTTATGGGGTTTCCAGGAAAAGTATAAGACTTGACATCAGGATACTGGCCTTACTGTTTCAGCTGAGGCATCTACCAATTGCATGAACTATCTATGTTACTTTGCTTCTCTAAGCCTCAGGTTTTATTTCTATTTTTCTTTTTGATAGTGACAAAATTGGAATAAATTCCTTTTGATAACTGAGTGAGTCAAATGAAATGAAATGTGTTGAAGACCTTTTACAATTAAGTAATTGTGAATAGAGAAGACTATCATCTATTCTATGGTAGTAGCCGTTACTACAATTTCGATGGCTAACCTGTAAGAAATTCTTTTAACTTCTTTAGAAATCACCATATTGGCATATACCCAAATATTTTCAAAGTGAGAACCTGAGATCAGTATAAAGAATCTGTTTCGCCTGGTGACTAGAAGAATGAACTTTGTAACCAGACTGAGTTTAAATCCCAACTTGGCTAATTTAACATTTTTCCCCCATTGATAAAATGTGTATAATAATACTGCCTGCAACATAGGAATGATATGAGGATTCTGTGATGCATAATGATGCCTGCCTTCATGTGGCGTGCCCCATAACATTTACTGAATTAAGAGAAATAAAGTAAGATAAACTGTGACCTGCTCCAGGATATTACTTGCACAACTCCTCTCGTTGATATTCTAATCAAGTGTCTAAGGCTACAAATATCATTTGATTTTAGAACTTTTACACAGAAATCAGCACTACAAGTTTCTTATGCTGCTGCTAATGTTTGAATCCTTTCTATTTTTATCTTCTCTTCCCATGATTCATTTTTATTGGCAATCAAACAAGTGCTGCTCTAATGGCATGTAGAATTTAATCAATTAATGGAGTTCAATAGGCCATTTCCAGTTGCAATATTTGAGAGGTTAATTTTGCAAACACCTGAATACTTTGGAAGATTATAGGGTAGCCTGAAATTACTGAGTACATGCCTACTCTCAGTGGACTGAAAAGAGAGGGATCAATATATAAGTGAAACCTTTTCTCTACCAAATGTCCTTGGATAAGTTGCCAATTCCCCACTGAAGCAGGATCTTTATCTTAAATTTACATTGCCAGGTTGTTTTAAAAAATAATTGTTCTGAAAAATTGTTCGTACCCTGGCTATATTTACTATATATGCTAGCTTCCTTCTTTACCGTGCCTGCATTGTTGTTTCCTGGAAATAAACAACAATTCATGACAAAAAAAATTATCATTCAAACATAACATAAAATACTATCGAAGTGACCACAAAAACAACAACAGGAACAACCAAAGAGCAAAAGAAAGAGTAAAAAGGAGGTGTGTGTGTGAGTGTGTCTGTGTGTGTGGGTGTGTATGTAGATAGATAAGAAAGACAATTGTTAATTGATTCTTAGACATTTCATTTAGGTTTTTGGATTGTTGATTAATTTGACCAATACATTTATTTACTACCTATGTGATAAAGAATGGTTTATACCAATAGTCATAGAACATTGTTAGCAAAATTAACCTTTTTATAACTACTATGTTAAAAGTAAGAGTTAACTAATTCATAATAAGAATTAACTGGTTGGCTATGCTTTAACAGTTTCCACATATGACACAAATTCAATTTGACACATTTCTTTGCCCTTGAATTCTCAAACTTTTGTTTACATTGGAATCACCTAGAAAGCTTGACAAGCATCGATTTGTGGGTCTGTCCCCAGCATTTCTCCTTGAGTAGGTCTGGGGTACAGACCGAGAATTCGTATTTGTAAAGAGTTTCACAGTTATGCTGATGCTGCTGGTTTGGGAACCACACTTCAAGAACTGCTGTCCAATAGTTTCTTTTCAATCAATTCATTGTAAGGTAATTGATTTTTATTGTGCCAGGCTGTTAACTTATTTGCCTTCCTGTGAATCACATCCTCTTGGTACCAATGTCCTTTGCACGAATATGGGCTGGGCTGGTGGTTTGTTTTAAACAATAGAATGAAGTAGAAATGATTTTGTCCTGGTTGTGGACCTGAGCTTTGAGATGGTCTGGCAGTTTTTACTTTTGTGCTAGTAGAAAGCAACCACCACATGAAAAAACTCTAACTACCTTGAGACCCTCATGTTTAAGAAAGTTCAAGATAAGCACATGGAGAGGCAACATAGCAGAGAATTGAGGAACCCAGGCAGCAGGGAGAATAGGTCCCAGGCAGACAGCTCCTGCCTAATGGCTCCCATCATCCAGACAGCATAAATTTATCTTATGGGTGAGGCCACTGTAAACCAGCTAGCCATCAGTCAACACTAGGTAAAGCAGAAAAACTGCCAGCTCAACCCATGATCATGAGAAATAATAAACTGTTTTTGTTTAAGCCATTCAGTTTTTGAGGTGATTTCTAAAGGCAATGGTAGAAAGTAAAAACAAAATTTGTATTTGCAAGTACAATGTGGCTGTAAATGAATGATGTGAAATTAGGGGGTTTGGGGACTAGGTGGCAGTCCCTGAAGGGCCGAAGGGCCCTGAAGCCTGAAGGGCTTCAAAGGAACTTTTACTATACACTGGAACAATATTCGGGAAATTGTTCTTGGTGGCTAGAGAGAATGGGGCTGGTGGAAAAATGAGTGAGGCTTCCATCTTCAGTAAGGCTGATGATAGAAATGATACTTAATGACCTTGTGGCTTGGGTATTGTGATTTCTGGGGAGAATGTTGAAGCTACCTATTTTGACTTTACCTATTTATGACAAAGACAGGAGGAACAAAATCAATTACAAAGGAAATTTTAATTTTTGAACAAAATTAAGAATCAATGTAAAAAAGCCAGGATTTGCTTCAGTCAAATATAAATCTGGTTCTTGGTCAGGGGTGGTGGTTCACACATTGAATCCCAGCACTTTGGGAGGCCAAGTTAGGAGGATTACTTGAGGCCAAGAGTTTGAGACCAGCTTGGGCAACGTAGAAAGACTCTCCTCTCTACAGCAAATAAAAAATAAATTAGTGGGGTTTAATGGCATGCCTATAGTCCCAGCTACTTTGAAGGCCAAGATGGGAGGATCCCTTGAGCAAGGAGTGAGTCTGCAGTGAGCTATGGTCATACCCTTGCACTTTAGTCCAAGTGACAAAGTGAGATCCTGTCTCAAAAATATAAATAAATGAAAATTGGCCTGTTTCCCATACTCAGCTATTCCAACTGTCAGTAATTCTCACAGTAACAAATGGGCTGAGGACAAAGATGAAATCTGGTTGTGGCATTTGGGGTAAGGTCATGTTTCAAAACCCTTTGTTAATTTATTTGAAACACTTCAGGCAATACTTCCTAGATTTTCTCTACTAGACTACAGGATTCCTAAGATCATAACGGCATGACTCATGGAGCTCCTCAGCAAGAAAAAAAAGGACTTCTAAGAATCGTAAGACATTGTTCTACAGCTGAGATTCAAGAGGGTTTTTTAATAGATGTATTGTTATTACTTTTGCATATTTTATTTTAATAGGGTAAACTTTAAAAAGATTTATTGGAAACCTACAAAACCTTTAAGGTAATTGTATTAGCAGAAGCACTACCAAGCTGGATTAAGAGGGACAGACACAGGTTAAAATAAACAGGGGCCTTTTAAAAAAAATTTTTTTTATTATACTTTAAGTTTTAGGGTACATGTGCACAACGTGCAGGTTTGTTACATATGTATACATGTGC